TCATCTGGTTTCCTTTCTAAATGGTATCGGATGGTTTAACCCAAGCAAGAACGGAGCACAAGAAACAAAAATTAGACTGCGATGACGATAATGTTTGAGCTTCCCATCTTCATTGTTACATAGAAATTGTTGAAAACGTCTTATCTTTTTTATGGAGACTTATTTGCAAAAACGTTTTATGTATATCAGCTGTTATGCCAAGTTTATACAAGCGAAACCTCTTTATTATGGAAAGAATTAATTCTACTAAATTCAACCCCTTTTCAACACAATCATTGAGACTAGCAGTTCTCTTTTCTTTAGAAGAAGCATTAAACAGAGATCTAATCTTAGTCGTTCTGTTCACTTTAAACGCATGCCGATGGGGCAAATAGTGACAAGATGACTTAATTTCTTCTTCTTTAGGAACCTCTTCGATGATTTGTCTTCTCCTTTGACTACTTCTTCATATAACTTCTCAATATTAAGCTTACGAGTGGTAACTTGTAACCTTTTTAGTGCCAGATCAAAATTTTCTAGCAAGGCCATGGTAAACCAACAAGAAAACGTTGATCTTCATCAGCTTTAACAGTCCTTAAAAATGTTCCATTGAGGCTTCATAAGTTCTTCAGTTATTTTTTTCTGAAGGATCTTGTATCCCTAAAGAATCCAATTTCCACATTTCAGAAATATCCATTTATTTTACTAAAAGGGAAGATATGAGCATACTAATAGTTGAAGATATCTCTGTATCATGTAATTTTCCTGATAAAATCTAACTAAGTAAAGTTTCCATTGCTACAAGTCAATATTTTACGCTGACTTGTCATAAGTTTTCCTAACACGTCAACTCCAAGATATACTTGAACAAGTTGTGTGTGACTCATTACACACATCTGATAATAATATCTTCATTTCTTGAAGCTCTTTGATCCATGCATCTGGACTAACAGGTGTAATATTATCACATATAGTGGGTTGGTCCAAAGCTTCCATATTACAAGCTATATTATTTTCTGGATTTCTTTTCTGATTCTATAACATGTGCACATATTTTTCAGAATTATATCCTCCAAATAAAGAGTGTATAAGAGTTTCTTTTCTCGTTAGGCTATATCTCATTTCTTCTGCTAGATTTTTCAATGTATACTTTTTTTGAGCCCATGAATCTAGGATTGCTCTAATAAGCACTTCCTTACTATCTGACACTAGCTTTATAATCATAGTTTGAAGAAACATCCTTGGGTCATAAGTAAAGTTAGCATGCTAATTTCAGAACTTGTACATTTTTCATCACGCTTGTCTGATTTCCTATTTCGAGCATCTAGAATAGTAATCTACAATCTTTTTTTTTTTTTTGTTGTTGTTGTTGTTGTTGCTGTTGTTGCGGTATACTTTTAACAATTTCAAAATTTCGCGGCACATTAATAATAAAATAATTAAAAAAGAATTTTACTTTTCTGTAAGACACTATGTAAAGTAGTTTATGATAATAATTTTAAATGTTAAATAAAGTAATATATGCGATAAAGACAACAAAATATTTATTGAGTAATTAATTACGAATTAATTGTAAGAATACATTTAATGCAAAATTTGAATTTGATGATTTTTGATAATTTCGTTTATAGTTGCTCGTAAAAATGGTGAAATTTACTATGTGAAATTTCAGTCATGTCTGCAGGAGCAATTTTTGCTACTTTCTTTGCGGATTTCCAAGTTGTTTCTTTCAGTTTATCTTCGGTCTCCGTTTCTTGCATCGATTCGGTCTGAGACTTTGAATAAGTAATATTATTTCCCTTATTCTCCATATTTTCTATAATTTCAGCCCAACTTGCATGAAATGTGTTTTTATTATCTTTAAGGATTTTCCCATCTCCAAGTCTTATGAGAGCTAAGTACGTACGTTAGCCTTAATAGTGTTTTATAGTATACATTTTGGCATAAAACTAAATGCTATTAGCTTTATTACATCCTTCCTTTGTGTTTTTAACTTTTATACTGTTCTAGGAATAATAACTTTATATTGTTCTAGGAATTAATGAATCGTCACTTCGACTTTATTTTATCTCGTCCAGTTTTCTCTGAAGAAGTGGTTCATGTTTCCTACTACTTCTTCAATTTTATAGCTGTTCCCATCTAAGTTTTTAAAGTATTTCTCCCGCCTTCCTAGCGTGCCTTCGTGGTGTAGTGGTTCTGCACGCTGGGCCGGTATTCCAGAGGTCCGTAATTCGATTCCCGGTGAAGGCGTTGCTAATTTTTTATTTTGCCTGCTTCCAAATATACCCAATGTCTCTACAGTGGCACTGAAACTAAAAGGGTCGTGGATAATGAATCTCCACACCCAGGATTTGGCGACTGAATCCCCTAAAAACCCTTTAAAAGAGGCATTTCTCCCGCCTTCCTAGCGTGCCTTCGTGGTGTAGTGGTTCTGCACACTGGGCCGATATTCCAGAGGTCTGTGGTTCGATTCCGGCGAAGGCGGTTGCTAATTTTTCATCTTGCCTGCTTCCAAAAAATCCTAATGCGTCTACAAATTATTTTACAAAATCTTCGATTTTTAAATTTCCTGAGATTTCTGATGCAGCAGAATTGTTTTCAGAATCTTCCGACATTTCTTTTGGCTCTCTGAATAGAATCATCGTTCAAAAACGTTAAGAACTTATCCATAGAAATTCAAATTCAAATTGCTGTCTCTACCTACCGGTTTAGAAATCTATAGAATTTGCTAATACTTTTACTTAAATAAGTAAAAGCCTTTTGCCAGCTTTTTTCTGCCAACGAAACGCTCGTAGTCAATAAGCTTAAGCAGAGAGTCAATAAGCGCAAGGCCAGATAGATAGACCACAATTCTAAAAAAGTATCTTTTTACAAAAATGATTGATTCTGAAGAAATGGCTGATTATATTACACTTCTCGACAAATTCAAAGAAATAGAAATCAACATTACGGATGATTTACTAATAATATTGCTTTTGAATATCATACCGGACTCTTAGAAAAGTTTTGGAATCGCCATGGAATCCTGTAATGAACTGCCTTCTCCAGAAATGCTAAAAATCAAAATGCTGGAAGAAGCCAACGCTCACAAGAACAAAGGTTCATCATACTCTGAATCACAACCCGCGTTCTGTTCAAGAGATCGGAAGCATAATCAACCACCGGTTTCTAAATCGAAATAAGATTTTTCTTGAAAGCGAAAGCAGTATTCAGCTAAACTTGACTTTTCTCATTAGTTTTCCTAAAATTTATTGCTAACGAATTTAGGATTGAAATTTACTCGAAAAAAAGAACAAAATCATTTGAAATTTTAGATTTATAACGTTGATTATGAAGTATATAGTAGAAACAGACGTACTAACGTGCATGGGCAATCATAGCTTTGTTTCGTAAGAGGTAAAGTAGTGTGCTCACCAAAAAAGAAATATCCAAAAAATGTCATATATCAAACAAAACTTTTCACGCCCAAATAGGACGTATTTCAGAGAGGACATTAACGAGATATCACTGTACCTTATTCACAGAGGCTGTTCGCACATTTTTTAGACGACTTCATTTGCTATAAAAAATTGCAGGTATGTAAAATACTTCTTAACTCCAACTATATTTTTGAAAAAGTAAATTATCGTTTGCTATTTGACAAATTCGTTTTCATGCAAAATGGCGTTTTTAAAGAAGAAATGGACGAAAGGCTATGTTTCTGCTCTTTCCAAAGAAAATTATTCGTATTTGGGTATTCAAAAATACTGTGAAAGCCGTGGTGTTTCGGTATCTAAAGCAACGATAGATAATATTTTAAATAAGAAAGGGGGGGGGAAGTCAAAGTTTGGCTTCAATGAGAAAAATTGTTCAAAATAGATATCCAAGGAAAAAACGAAATGTTTGGGATGTTGCAAAGGTAAGAACTGCAATCTTGAAAGAAAATCTTGGAAGAACAGTTGCATAATCACAGTTGCACAATGCTCAGTGTCAACTGTAAGCAAAATGATTAACGCTGATTTGAACCTTAAAAAGATGAAAAACGTAATGAGCATCGTCTTGCTCCACGACATACCACCGAAAGCAGAACGTAATGTAGAGTTCCCAATGAGAAACAATTATTAGAACAAAAATGGAGAAATGTTGTCAGAATAGATGAATCTTAGGTATATTTAAATGATCGCTATAAAAAGAGATCCATTTATTATCGTCAAAGAGAAGGAAAAAAATCCTTAGAATATGGTTCAAAGAACCCGAAGAAAGTTTTTCAAAGGGATTTGTGATGGTTGCTTCTTTTTAATACAACGACAAATAAAAATTAAATAGCAAACTGTTAAGGTCAACTCCATATATGCAGCAAACTGTTAAGGTCAACTCCATATATTAACGGAAACATATTTTACACCCAGTTTTCAAATATGAAATATTTTCTCTTTAATCACAATGCCATCAATCGGTAGAACTTCATCAAGACAAAACTAGCAGCTGGAAGTCAAAATCCACTGTTAATTTCCTGAAAAAAAATGGAACAAGAAACGTGTATCAGGTCCAAACATTTCACTCTCATCCCTACTAAATCTCTTGATGTACCCCCAAGGAATTCTGCGCTTTTGTACTTTTAATAAGCGGATTGTACAGATGTCGACCTACAGCCTTTCTTGGACTTTAGAAAGGTGTTTAGGAGGAATGGGGTAAAATACCTCTTCCGTTGCTAAAAAAAGCTTTATTATCTTGGAAATAACGGTGCAGAAAGATAGTGAAGACTAAAGGTTATCAAATGGAAAAATTTTAGGTAAAACACTATGAATATCGTCTAAAAATGTGCGAACATAATTAGTATAACTGGCTTAAGATGCAGGAGCAACTTGTGTAAGAGTAGCTGGCGGCATACACATTTTGCATAAACAGGAAGTATAAAAAAAATAAGGATTACTGTTATTAAGAATTTTGGATTTCGAATAAGAAACATAACATATGTCTTTGTTAACCAGAGTTATTATTATACAAGTATATAAGCATACGTAAATAATCAAAACGAAAAGTTATTTAGGAAACATTTTATTTAACAAGTGAATAATATTTATACAAAATGCAAATGGCAACATTTATGTACACACTAGAAATGCAGTAAAGTTATAATTCTTACAACAGAAAAATGGATTCCTTCATGAAGATGATTGATAGCTTGGCACAAAGTACTATCTAATAGTTTATTTTACCACCACTCACTACCTCCTCCGTAACTTCCTCCACCTCCGAAACCTCCACCTCCGTAACCTCCGTCTCCAAAGCCTCCACCTCCGTATCCTCCACCTCCTTCATAGTGGGCTTCTTGTGAGAATGAATGACTATACACTCTGTAAAATGAACAGAAAGTAACTAGTAAAAACTGATTTTCACTTTTCGTGTTTTTCATATAGTTTTAAAAAATAACATAAATGCATAACCTGTGCAGTTTCGATAATGCCAAAATGATCGTTTGAAGCATATCATTCTTCAAATTATTAGATAGCAAATTTATTTCAAAATCGTGTAAAATGAGAACTGGCAAAGAGTTTAAAGTAATATTTTATTATTATAAATTTTTAATGACCGGGTAAATTCTCGGAGTAATTAATCGAAAATATCTAACTCATCTGTCTTTTAACCATCTCATTATCGTGAACGTTGCTCAGGATGCACCGCGGAGACTAACCCAATACTATTTTATTATTTCTAACATTAGAAACACCTGTAACAGAGTCTTTCTAAATATTTGGATCATTACATCATTTCATCATAAAATTTTGTCACCAGACATTTATCGTTATCGCGATTCGGCAAGTATTGCTACTGCACAAGACATAAGGAAAATAAATAATTTAATTGATAATCACTGCACGATATTCCGTAAGATCTTTAATTTATAATGTTCAATAAACTGCTCAATTAGAAAACGATAAATGAATTTAATACTAATTTATATATCAATGTTATTTTTAAAAATATACCTGATTAATCTAACTTATGTTACACCTAAATTTATAATATATTCACTTGATAATTTGTATGAACATTTGCAATACGGTTAATTAATGAAAGATTCATTTTTCTAGTACTTCGGTAGAGAATCTTTCTTTTTCTGGCAATCAAAATAATGGCTACATATTGTTACGTTGATCATGTTCTTCAACATTTTGTCTATCTGTCTATTCACTTATATATGCCTGATCTGTGTAAACATTTTTGAGCTAAACTGATCTGTATAAATATTTTTGTCATCAACACATCACATTTTCTTCAGTAATTTGCATGGAAATGTTATATGTTAGTTCTTTCAGATCATATAATTTGTAATAACATTCCATGTTGGACACTTCTCAAAATTAAAAAAAAAATATTATTTCTAATATTATTTTGAAAGAAAAAATCTTCTAACTTCTTTAGCTTGTGAATATAAGATTTCCTTGAAGCCTAATACCTTCATAGAAATTTAACCATAAAATTTAATCATTTTACCAAGATTTTTCCAAAGAGTTTAAAATCAGCTATATATTGTCTCTACAGACATATATTTATTTTAAGCTAAAATTATTTGAAATTTCATATTTAATTTGACTGCATGGTGCACAATTTTTTGTTTACTCTATTTTGTAAATCTCAGAGAGATTTATTGGTTCAGTTTTAAGTTGTTATTAGCATTATTTTTCCTATTGTTATTAGTATAGTTCTAATCTGTTATTAGTGTAGTTTAACCTATATTAATAACATAGTATAGTTTTAACTATACAGTATAGATCAAGTAACTATACAATATGGTAACTATACAGTACAGTTAAACTTTTTAGTTGATTGTTTTTTACTTTCTTGTACGAAGTAAAGGAAATATTACAATCTCGAAAACTTTCTGGTATCATATTTTAACAGAAATATCCATTTTGAATGTTCTCCAGCCCATTTGGACAATTTTTTTTGTGTGACAGAACAAAGAACTGTTTTTATCCAAAACGGTGTATACGAGCCAGTTTCCCTTAGAAAGTCCTCCACGAAGGCATCCCTCCCCTTAGGCAGATAGTAGTGTGCTTTGCCATAATTAAATACACACACCTTATCCAAAACGAATTATAAAATAAATTTAAAATGGATTCGAAAGGGATATTTTCTTGACGTATGTAAGTATTTTTCGATATGTATGTATCTCGCCTAACTCAGAGACGATTAGCCGTATAGCGTTAAAATTTTTTACATAGGACTGCTATAACATCCAGATGTGCACCTCCTATTTTTACCCCAATCGTCAGTACCAAAGCAGTTGTGCAAGTAAGTAGTAACTTGTTTTCGCACTAAAATGAATTTAAGATCATACAACATTTTATATATATATAACCACCCTTTACCCGGCTTAAAAGTCCTTACCCTGCCTTTATTTTCGCAATCGTTGGTCGTAGTCATACACTTCCAATTACAGAAGTGTTTTAAATGACGAAAATATTCATGTTTTGATAATGTAAAATTTAAAAAATAAAATTCGTTTTCGACAAATAACGTAATCTGACTTTTAATGCGGTTTCCCGATTCCTATGTCTAAACTTGGAAAAGTTTTATACTCCTTCTGAAAACATAAAATTATAAGAAGTTTGACTCTCTTACCACAAAAATAAACTTCGATATCTAATATCAAAGTTTGCAGTTTTTGATGTCATTTTCATCTTGTTTTGAGGGATTTGTTATTCAAGTTAGAAAAATTCAAATAAACAAGTTTAAATGAAGTGCAGTTAAAAATACGCATAATTTAATTCTACAACGAAGCCATGTGGTGTTCACATCAGGTTTATTATTATTATTATTACTATCCAGAAAACATTTGATTCCTGTCCATGTTTACTCAAGGAAGTTAATTAAGTACTTTTCATTGTAAAATGATATGTGTTGTGATGGCTTCATTCGCGGTTTCATAATACGAAGCAATTGGGTAGGCAGTCCTTAAGTGCTTGGCCTTAATTAATTTACAAGGTGTATCTGGATACGAAATAAATTTGGCATTTATAGCTGAAATAAATATGTTAGGTCAGATAATATTTCCGACATCTCGCTAAAACCCGAGCTTTAGGAAATGGTTATTTTGAAGAAAGCGAATTTAAAGATTTGATAGCTAGAAAAATCCAGACTTGTTACCTTTTATATAATAATTTTTTATATACATCTTAGAGGATATGCATTTCCGTCTTGTTTAGTATAAAGTTATTATTCATTTAAAAACAAACTCATTTCAATATTTGAAAATGAAGCAGTAAAATATGCAGATTCGTGATTCTAGAGTGGAGACAATATTAGTATTGGATATTTGATTTTGTATTAAATCATATGGGCGAAGAAAACTAAGTACCATAAACAATCATGCTAAAGTTCAAGTTGCGAAAATTATTTTTATATTTTACTGACAATTAAGCCTTAAGTTAAATACTGTCCTGCTTCCTTTTCAGTTAACGCGTGGAATCAGTAATTCGGAATCCGAAAATCTGTACAATATTTCTGAGGTAAATTACAATTTTCTGTACATTAAGATAATAAAAATCTTAAATTCCACGTGTTATTAATATTTTACTGTTTAACCTTTTAAAAATAACATTCAGTATAAAAGGTTAATTAGATGCTTATGGTTTTTCTTATCTATGGAACCAAGGAAGCATATAAACATAAGAAACATTCGCCCTTTGAAGAAGATGGACAAAGATGATATTGCTTTAAACCGATTGTAGTATTTCTCAGAATATAAAACTGGTTTATAACTGAACGTGCTTGATGTTAAAAAAAGGTGGATTATCATAGAATACATATTTCAAATTAATATCAAAATACCTGTACTTTAATGAAGTGAATCAGTCGACTGTGACCGTATTACAGTTGACACTGTTTAATATGATTGCGATAAAAATTCATTCGGATATTTTTATCACATTGCCGAAGTCTCACCCGTTTGTACATGAAAACATGGAAAATACATCGCTTATTGGGATAAACAATTCGGTTATAAAATTGGTAGCATTGATTAATTTTTTAAAACTAAGTAAAATAACCAAACAAAAGATAAAGTAACCAAATATGTTCAAAATGTTCCTGAGTGCCGCCAGGCACCCTCCACTAGCTCCCACATGCATTACTACAGGAATGGGCACTACCGCCAAACATGTATTTCAGCTAAAAGAGGGTACCATACCCGTTATAAAAGCGATGTTTCCATTAGACATTCCTCCGATCCATTTGGTCTTTTACGATATTTGATGGTTGTAATACTTGCATTTTTCGTACGTCTTTGCTTTGTTGTTTGCGTTGTGGTCTAGTAATGCCACACCCACCTCTTGGATCATACGCCATATAATTAAACAGTTTTTGTTTTATTCCGTGTTTTGCCTTTGCTATTTATTTTTTGGGAATGAGTGTATAAAGGAAAAGTATCATTTTAAGTTAAGCATGTAAAATCAATATGTGAATGATTTGTCAAATGCATTAGAATTAAAATACGTCATTCCTGTAATTATATGAGCAAAGTTTCTGTAATTAATGAACAAAAACTTATGGGTCCTATGGCTGCTGCTAGTATCAATGTCTGACCATTGCTGAATCGCATTTTATAACGGGATTATCAAATGCAGCAGAAGGCGGATGGAAATACAGTCTCAGGAGACGTCCTGGGAAGCACTGGTTAGGATCTGTACCTAGGAGTCTCAACCACGGGGGGTACATAAACACTCTTCACAGGACTAGAACCCGACTATTGTACTCAGGTAGGTTCGGGCTTGGCAGGGACCGTACTGGTACTGTCGTGTCCGTTCCCTCGGCTGTTGTGGAGCTAATATGTAGATGGTAAGTGGGTCTCTTCGATGGGGGTTTGGCCCTCATAGTCCCTGTGGCGGGGACTGACAAAGTAAAGCAAGGCACCGATTCTGAATAATCCGTAGCCAAGGGAGTGGTGCCCCGAGGCGAAGGTGACTTCGTATCTTTTTGACTTCGTTTCTAGATTTTCACCTTGCTGAGGCTGTGTATAAAGCCGGGTCGGGACTGTGGGGTCTGCGCTGCCACTGATGAGTCCCGTACAGAGCCCGTTCAGCAACACTTCGTACGGAATATCCAGGTAGAAGGAGCGGCCTCTGGTGTGTGTGTGTGAGTCAGGGACCATGGGTCTCACTCAAGAACACAAGAAAAAAAAGTGAGTTCGAAGTTTGTTAGAAGCTGAAAGATCTAAGAAATAGCATTACACATCTGTGAGGCATATCCCATTCAGTAGGTTAAAGTAAATGTGAGAACGTACCGTGTGGATTAGTGTAGTGAAAAATACATTGCTTATAGCCAACAAACCTTTTATAAAAGGATATATTTTGTATATTCTTGCTGTAACCTAGCAATCCCCCCCGGGGGACTCAGGCGAACGCCTGGGAAGTACTGGTTAGGAACTGTACTTAGGCAGTCTCAACCACGGGGCATAAGGGCTCTCAGGACAGAGTAAGGTTCGGCAGGGACTGTACTGGTACTGTCTTGTCTGCCCTTGCTCTGTGGGGTCGCAACATTGTGGATTGATCAAGGGCGGGGCGGCACTTAATTCCGATAGAAGCCTATTAGGTCGCATTAGAACGAAAGCCGTCTCGTTCCATCAGAGTTGTAACCTAGCAATTCTACGAGTAAATACTGTATACTTAAAGAAAATCTGTTATAAAATCGAAGTATATATTTTTTAATTATAGTTTAGGAATTTTCGAATTCCATTGCATAAAATTCTTGTCAGGTAAGGTCTAGAGATTATACTATAACTTAATTTATCTTTTAGATAATAACAGATACTTACGGATATGGAACAACTTTATCGCCTTTGTGTATTTTCAACTTGAAGGGTATCGGAATAGGAACTGGAACGAATCTGGGTTTCAGTGCTCCTGCAATCACAGATGCAGCAATCAGCTTTTTTATCTTTCCAGCTTCAACCTGTTGGTTGACCAAGGCGGTGAGGAACAGGACAGCCATCGCCAAACTAATGATTCTCATACCCAACATGGCGGAGGCCTATACTGAAATAAATAAACAAACCTATGATAAACATATACTTTTACTGCACAGACTATACACATATACTGTCTGTAGCCACATATACTGTCTGTAGCTGCGGCTACAGACAGCTGCAGACGAACTGGCGAGAGCTTTTCTTATGATAGACAGACTGTACCTGCGACATCAAAATTATTTGAGTACTTACTTTAAAATCTAAGTTCAAATAGCACAGGATTGTTTAGAAACCTAAGAACTGCTTACAGATCTTAATAAATAATATCAGTTTTATTCATTACATACCTCAGAGACTAATCATAGTTGGAAATTTAATCATTAGTTCGATTTTGGTCTGCAGAACCTATTCAAAAAGCTTCTTCAATAAGCGAATTGGATTTTCATGAAGCTTTTCACATTCAGAGAGATTTATCTTCTTTAGTTAATGACTTTAAGCTCAATTTAGTCGTTCCTAACGGTTTTAAAATTCTGTTAACTTAATTGTTTTCAATTTCGTTACTATTTCCCCCGACAAATGGCGCTATCTCCTTATTAGCTTTACTGCTGTAGAATATAAAATTGACCAATGCACCTGTTCGTTCAAGCCTTGCAGATTATTTTGCCTCTGAAAAGGAAGATGTTTGCCCTCGAAATCGATTGAAGTACTGACTAAATAATATACTTCAAACACAAGGCTGTTTGTTTTGATAATTTTATGTTTTGTGACTAAGTTCTTGCAAAATCAAATTTGAAGATAATAACACTCTTACTTCGTAGCCTTTAGGGTCCAATCATGGTAAATCTAAACAATGGTTGTCACATTCCCACAGCTGTTTAATTCCTTCTTGTAACTAATGTTTTGAAACACCGCTCAAGTCTTTAGTTATGCCGTTGAAATAATGATGTGGTAAGACTTGTACTGCATTCTTTTTAAAAGTCTATCCATTGAGACTTCATGAAATATGAGATACCTTCTGCTCTTCAAAACTAATTTCTTGTTTATTCTTCTTCATCCAGGGAAGGTCATCATAGTCTTTTACTAGAGACTTTAGAATTCGAAACTTCTGTGATTGTGTTGAAACTTATCCAAACCAAGTAGATCATTATCGCTTTCTCTCTGGATCATAAGAAAAGCACCAACTCCGTCACAATTTATTGCTTCCCATTATATAGTAAAATTTTATTGGTAATCTTTTCTCATCTTTTGAATCTATGACAGCAGTCGTTCACTAGATCAAAGACAATTCTGTTCCTTAACAAACGAAAGCATACTGGAAACCAAGTCAAGATATCGTGCTAGTTAATAATATCAATTGTCGTTTAAGATATTTGCTGAAATTTGTGAAATAATTAGCGTTAAAACTTTGTAGACCACTGTATGCTCGTTTCTCATCCCAATAATATACCACATTTATGCTAACGTATGCAACCAGTTTTTAGATATAAGTGTAAAAACTAGCAATTGTAAATAATTTCTAATTAATGAAATATTCAAAATTATTTTTACCAAATTACTGGCTTAAGTTGCAATAGCAAATATTAATTTATGCAGGATAATTCGATAAAAAACATATGATAATGAAAATTTGAATCTGAATTTCTAATAAGACCATTTTTATAGAACATGTTTCGTGGTAATTTGGATTAATTTTTGTTAAAAACCATGTTTAATTCCTTTGCTTCTTTTAGTCCCTTCATCCATTTTTCTTTAATAGCATGTTTATTCATTCGTATTATTTATTATTTTTGATAGCAGTAGAATGGAAAACCTAATGAAATAAAGAAATCAACTGATTTCGAACAAAGTTGTTGTTATTATTAAGATTTCAAACGCATTTGCTACTAGTTGCACAAAATATGCGTAGAATAAAGCACGACGAAATGATAGCAGAATGTTTAATAATTTAACTTGATTATACAAATAAGAAAAACTAATTATGTTCGTAAATAACGCGCAAATACAAATTTTAAAAAATAAGTAGAAATAAACTGTGTGGGGTAAATACGAGAAAACAAATGTTAAGTGTGCTTCGATAACTTTAAGTGATCTCTTTTCGGCGACAGCCAATGACACTTTTTTCGAGTGCACTACGTTTTTATTCAACATTTGGTGGCATATATACCCTCGTTTTTTCCCCAGTGTGAGGAATATGAGCACATATACGCAGGTTCTTCATTAATTAATTTATGTAAACATAATGCAAGAGATAATACTTGGTGGCAAAAATTGTGCACGAAGTAAAATCTCGTTTCGGGAAATAATCCAATTGGACTAAGACTCTTCTAAGGAAAAATGAATTAACTTTTAAAGCAATATGGTTTCGAATCGTGCCTAGAATGTTTAATATTTGAAGAACTGAGAAGATTTACAGCATTTAATTATTTCATTTTTTATCAATAATATATCCGGGGACTAAATGCCTTGAATAAAAATATAATATTAGGTGAAGGCTGCATCTGTCAGTTTACATTCGTTTCCGGATAACTATTGCTCAATAAGAAAACGGGCAAAAAAAATCGTAATATAATTATTTATTATTATCGTAATATAAATTATTTGAGGTTGGTTGGGAATTTCAGTAGCTCTGGGAACTAATTATAAGTTTGGGAAAAAGCAACTTTGAATAGTCGTGAGGATTTTTAATAATTATTTATTTCGCATTTTATCGATATTATTCCTGGGAAGTTGCCCAAAAGGTATAGTGGTTAGGGAAGCCTGATTGCGATGCCAAAGTACCCGGGCTCGATACCTGAAGAATGCATTGGATGTAAAATTGTCTGTCCCTTCATAGGAAGTAACGGTGGCCGCCTATTAGGTGCCTCCACAATAAAATGGTCACAACTTCTGGTCTAAGTAGTGGCCAATGCTGTTATAGGCAAGTGCCCGTCATTGGAAAAAAAAATCCTGAGGACAAGACATACAAATAAAAAAATAATATTGTATGAAGGCTACATTTGTAAGTTCACATTCTTCTCCGAATAACTGTTGCAATAAAATGGGCAGAAAAGGTAATATATATCAAAAATTATTTGAGGTTAGTTGTGGGTTTCGGTAACTCTGGGAATTAATTATAAGTTTGTGAAATGATTTGGCTTGAATCCTAGTCAAAGTTTAGGGCCCTTCCTACAAAATAAATCAGACCTTATGACAAAGTTCTTACAAAAGAAAATAATGTTATTATAAAGTCGCATGGCAGCTCAACTCAAGAGTTTTAAGAAATCGTTACTATATCTTCCAGGGACTTGCTCTGAAGAACCAGACTTTGAAAAGATGAAGCTCATATCAAAGAGTTTCTGGAAATGAGAATTTATTTATAACCACTTGTTAATCAAAATCGGTGAGAGTTTATTAGCAGTTTACTCCCTTAAAGTTGGCTGTTGAAAGAACTGTTTGTTGGATGCTAAAGTTGTAGAGTCATTAGCATTTTTTTTTATGCTGGAGACCTGAGAAATATGCAGTGCTCTCGCCGGCACTCGAACCTGGACCTCTCGAATAACCGTCGAGTATGCTTTCAATTACACCACGAAGGTATGAGGAAGAAAAATACCTTATATACTCCCCTTTTTTAAGGGTGAAGGAGGATTAGGAGACCCAATAGGCAGATCCTGGCGGTGACGAATATTTATCACCACCTTTTAGTTCGGGCGCATTTGTAGAGTCATTAGGTTATTTTTGAAGCGGGAGACATGAAACATATGCAAATAGTTTTAAGAAATTATTTTCAATCTATTGCACTAGTATCAATGTATTGCATCGGTATCACTCTACTGCATTAGTATCAATCTATTTCATATATATCAGTGTGAATCTACCAATTACTTAAAGTAGATGATAGATCCACGCTGATATATATAAATATGAGTAATTATACGTATTTTTGATTATATAAAAAGTTTTGCATGATTTTTTTAGGAAACAAAGTTCTTAACTTCCTTTATCATTTGAATTATTAAGATTTTGCAGCGGGAATTTGTATAATTTATTTATTAGGAATAATTAATATTTGTGTTAAGGTAAGGTTAAATTGCTTATTTTATTGTAATTTTTTTATATATGATCCTGTTTTTATTGAAATTTCTGTTTTTTCTTTTTGTTATTGTTGTTTGTTTTTTTTTGATAAGGTTGCTCTGCAGAGTAAAATTCTGTGCAGTTTTAAAATTAATGTTTAGTGTTCCCTTTAGGTATTTTATGGTACATTTGAAAGCCAAAAGAAGGTTGGCCGAGTAGTTGCTAGTGTGAATATAAATTAAAGGCAGGCAAATGCTGAATAGTTCCGAATGTCTCCTTTGTACTCAAATAATCTGATGAAACAAAGAAAAATGTCAGGTAAAGTGGTTTGCCTTTAAACAAAAATGTAAAAGACATCCTCATGTCATAAATATCGCCACTTTTAAATGCCGCTTTTTTAAAACTATGTATAGTATTGCGTCACTAAATGATGTAACTGTCGGAAGATGTTAACCTAGTTTCTCACCACAAGATCAAAACTTCGCGAAGTAAGATTTCCGCGTTGCTAGGAGGTGAAAAAAGAAAAGGTCAGAGAGTCAAAGTCGCCTTTCCGGTATTAAATTCTTACATATAATGGATTTGAACAAGTATATGCAGTGAAAGCGGCATTTTGGAAGATAATTTACTTTTGCATTATCATAAAGCATTTGGCAGTTTGCCTAACATGGAAAGAAATGAAATAGTGTATTGCAGGAGTTCTTAACCAGGCAGAAATTTTATAATTTCAAGAGAGCGATAAGGTCAGCCTTTTATTTAGCTGTTAAGCATTTGATATACTGTTTGCTGCTTAATTAAAAAATTACCTTAAAGAGTAATCTAAATTTATGTAAATGTGTACGTATTTTTAGAGTTTAGGAAAGGAAAAAGGAAATGAACTTTCAGAAGTAGTGGTATAAGATATTTTCTACCTCCTCTGAGTGCCTGAGTTAAGTAATCGGTAGCACAGTCGGCGCGTATTCGAAAGGTCCAGGTTCGAGTCCCGACGAGGGCATTGCTCATTTTTCATACCTCCTGCTTAAAATAATCTCATGTCTCTACAGTGAAAGGGGTGCATGGGGCAAAGTAGGTTGAAAACCACTAGTCTGTTCAATGGTAGTTTTTGAATAGGGAAGAATTTTAGAGATCCGAAAATATATGAATAGTCATCACATGTATTCTTATCTCATCGTGTGAGAAGTTTCAGTTTGTTTTATTTCTCATATTAATGACAGCTATTTTCAGCAGCTTATCTTAATCCCGAAAGAATTATCAGTTTTTAAAAGACTTTTAAAAATAATTTAAAAAAAATATTTTTAAAGGCGATTCCTCGAAGAAAAACAGTACAACAATGATGTAATAATAAATAAACATATGTACTTAATTAATTTCTAATTATAATAGTAGAGACATTAGGTTCATTGGAAAAGCCGAAAAGATGAAAAATGAGCAAACGCCGTTTCCGGGAATCGAACCGTGGACTATTTTGTAAAATTTAACGAATATTCGATTAAAAAACTCAACGATTTCAAAGCGAGCAATGGCAACACTGTATCAAATGAAACGTTTTTATCTCCAGCGCGCGAGATTGTCTATCGGAAATTTGAATGATATGCTGTTTTTAAATATTTGTGATTTTAGTGTTGAATCGAATTTCGTATGACGTAAACGCCAAGACGGGATATTTAATAAATAAAGTAAACCCACAAAACGTTAATAATAAAAAGACAAAAAAATGTTTCGCTAAAACATCATAGTAAGAAAACTGAACATTGATATGATAAAGAAAAAGCTGGCGGGGAAGGGGAAATAAAACGGAGGAAGGTATGCTAACATTCAACTTTGCATTCAGAATTCCAAAAGTATACTACTAGGCTGCTTTTAAAAATTTGTAATTTTGCTCTTGAATTGTATATGGTGTAAGTGCGAAGAAAGTGATGCTTAATAATACCCGAAAAAAAAAAAAAAAAAAAAAAAAAAAGCTAAAAAGACAAAAAAAAAAAAAAAAAAAAAAAAAGAAAAAGAAAAAGGGTTAGCAGGAGGTGTAACAGCAGACTGGTGGAATGCGAACTCAGTGAGAGTGGGGGAAAAAACACCTTAACACACCTTTTTGAGTGATCATTAACATCTGAAACCTCTCAGTTCTTTTTTATTGTTTTGTATTACAACATAACTCAAACTGTGTAAAGCAATGAGCAGTAAAGTTAACAAAACTAAATGAAATATTTCACTGAACACAATGGTTTCTCGAAAAATATTGTTAAACATTAATAAACATTGATCAAATAAGTGCATCTATGCCAAGCACATTTTTTTCTCTTCGCGTTTTCTGTCATAAGATAGTAACAGTCTTCACTACATCTGCAAAGCTGATTAATGACGATGTGCACAAAATGCATTTAGAACTTCAAATTTTAAAAAAAAAAAAAGTGTGCTCCAGAACTTCTGTACGAATGCAATTAAATTTTCGGAGATTAAAAATATTTATGCAGCTTTACGTGTTAAGCCTCTTCATTTGCAGGAAAATAAATTCGTCGTAATCGAATCAAATTTCTGTTCAGGAAAACATATCTATCTGTAAATTTATCCAAAAAAAACATTATAAAATTTTAATATTATTTATATTATAAAATATGAATTCCAAGCAAATTTTCCATTACTTTTCCTTCAGAGAAACACGAATTAAGCCTTCGTGTCGTTTCGATGGAAGGATGTTTTATGAAAATATTTAGCAAGTTAAAACTTTACGAGAACATTTTAGTTAAATTATTCTTTCCAAAAATCCTTTAATGAATTTATCAAAAGAAGACTTTGACAGGGTTGTAAAACTTCTTTTCACGTCATTAGTCTTTTTTGTACATAGAGTTATTTCATCGTATTTATAAAGCACCATTCTTGTTTATTTTGCGTAGAGAATACGCGGAAGAATCATTAAGATATTTAATAATTTAAAATACGAGAACAATTTAAATTACCTAAAAACTTACAGAATTATCTTTAAAAAACATAAAAAATATATTTAATTAAAAGTCGATTTGGAAAAAAAAATAATTAGAAAATAGTGCTTTCAAGTTACTTAATGAGAAGCTATGCTAAACAGAAGGAAAGTAATTGTATTATAAAGTTTCATATCACATTTGAAAAGCTCTGAATTTTTTATTTCACTGCATTAGAAATTTCTCTTATACAGTCTTAAATACTAATACGATAAGAAGTAAAAATGTAATTTTGAAATAAATACATTTCAAGATCTTTAATTTTCTTAATTAAATATATTTATTAAAAAAACATTAAAAAAAATCTTAAATATTTCAGATTTTAAATTACGTCCAAAGGGGCGTTTTTTTTAACATTTTGTGTGTGTTACCTTTCTTTATTAAATATCATGTTCCTCGCACTTAAACCATAAAAATCCAGTGCAACAGCAATATCGCAAAATAATTTTAAAACGAGCATATCTTAGAATTTCCGATACAGAGACTCACGCGCTGGAGATAAAAATGTTTTTTCTGCAACCGTAACGTTGCCATTGCTCGCTTTGAAATCCTTGAGTTTGTTAATCAAAAATTCGTCAAAGTTTTAAAAAATAGGAAATCGATCATAAAACAAATTTCAAATTTCAAATTTGGTTTCCACATGCTCATATTCGTTGGAGGATTACGTTATTCAAAATTCGATGACTTCTATGTACCGTTGTTTTTATCACAATGCGAGAAATATACATACATTTATGCAGATTTTTCATTATTTAATTTCTTCAAATATAATGCAGGACTCTAACATTTGGTGGCAACAGTTTGAAAAGTGAACAAATATTTACAGGAGTCCGACGCAAAATGCCAAAACGAAAGTAATAGTCCTTCGGAACTCAAATCCCTTTGGACTAAAAAATCACTCACTTTTAGTTATCTTCGCTTCTTAAAATTAATTTCAGAACTTTGCTAGTAACACAGATATATCTAAACAATTTTATACAAAATACAATGAGAAATAGTTGCATAAATAATAATTTCTTCAAAAATTTTAAAATTTCGTCTATTAGCTTGATGATACGAATTAAATGATTTTAGGTAAATTACAAAGTTTTCAGTTTTCATTCCTTTGAGCATGCGAATGGAACTGAATTCTTAAGAAACTGAAGTGCGAAATTATCTTTTTGTCAAAGAAGAGTAAAATCGCTATTCCAAAAATGAAGTAAATCGTAAATTGATTTTCCTGTGCGATGTAGATACATAGTAATATTTCAGGAATACCTAGCAAGCAACGAGCGGGAAAAAAAATCAAGATTCTTCTTTATAAAACATCACTTACCTGACGATAAGCACTCAATCTTATTCCGACCTATCCTTTGGAGTAGAATTACCAAACTGAAACAAGTGAAAGTTTGAGATAAATTTCACTCTGACCCGTCTTTTTATACTCGAACCCATAAAAATGTGGACCTCAAGAGAGAGAGGACAGGAGGAGGGACAGAAAATGTAATCACCATTCCCGCAGTGGGCCTAAGGAGGGTATGACCCATTTCCTTACGGAATTGACCTCCCCAGCTCGTATACCTGAATTCTCCCCTTGTCTAGAGCTCTCACTTATTGGGAGAAAGAAGATAATTTCTCAAAGCAGAAAAGAGTTTTTCTTCCTCCCTTTCTATTTGCATTTTGAAGCTGAGGTACTGCTGTAGCTACTGTTTCTGATTGCATTGATTACGTTGTATTTAGAATGGAAATGCAGATGTGAGTCCAAACAATACATGGGTTGACGAGCATACTAGTATATCACATATAAGATAATAAAGCCCATTACTCTTTCGTTACCTCTGCGTATTCCCGAGTTAGCCAACTGTTAATTGTTTTCTATGTAATATTTCATTGGGAAAAAAGTTGCATATCTTTTTAAAAAAAATTCACATTTCTTTGGCATGGTGCATGAATGGTGTATAAACATTAAAAAATTGCTTCCTTATTCAACAAGGTTGATTAATATTTGAATAACTCCTAATGATTTTATTGTAATTTATTCATAAAAGATATCGATGACACTACGTCAAAACCATGAATATGTAAAATCATTGATTCGAAGAAAAGCCGATTGAAATATTAGTATGCTTCTAGTTTTCAGGAGGAAAAGGTAGGTATTATAACTACGCAGTGAATTTTTTATAAGAAACTGTCACATTTGGAACAGAGCGAAGCAGAAAAACAACATAGAAAGCTCATTATAAATGAGAACAACAGAAATGGCCGACTCGTAATTTTGCTATGGTGCAGATAAAAATTTTAAACAAACGTTCACATTTTGTCTTAAGTTAGATGTTATAAATCAGTTTCAAAATTTATTAATTAATCACACTGATTAACTTGTTAATTACTATAAATATTTTTTCACTTTCGTAAAAAAACATTTTTCTTTCGAATCTCCACCAGTACGTTTTTGACATCCATAGAATTTTATTATAATCTACGATATTACAAAATATTTGAAATCTAATTCTCTCCCAAGTATAAATAAAACAAAGTTGCTTTATGAGTTTATGTGAGGTTTTAGATTTTAGATTTTTTTAAAACAGTAATTTAAGATATTTTGAAGTATTAATTTATTACAAGAAAAGTGAGAATCCGAGAGATTGTGAAAGTAGCCTATTCCATGTTTGATTTACTATAAGAGTTTAATTTAGAACATTCATTTTCTTTTATAAATTACAGATATCAAGAAGAATTTAATAAAATTTAACACAGTAAATGTTTTGTTGGAAAGGTTGGTTTAGTTTATTTAATTACGGCAACGTATAACCTGTGGAAAGTGATGCCTTAGTGGAGGAGTTTCTAAACATAATTGGCTCGTATACATGTTACACATGGGGGACAACCACGAAAATGGCGTGTTCAGCGACATTTGCCGCTCGACCGCAGGTGGGCTTTGGAGCAAAGAAAACTTCTACAAAATTCTTACCCGAAATAATTTCAAGGCTGCTAAATTCATATCTGCAAATGATTAATAAACTACAAAAAGTACTTGAAGGCTGAATCTCCAAAATAATTAAAATCCACAACAACATTTCCCTATTGAAAACAATCTTGAATTTTTATATAAAGTAAATTTTTAATTTTACTTTGTGATAACTCTGAAAGTCTCATTTTTAATTTGGTTATTTCTTCATTTTATTCCAAAAATGGAAGACAAAATGTGCGCCATTTCAAAACTATTGTCATATAATTATAAATGTAATACAAATGATATAAAATGTGTACACACGAAAAAAAAGGGGCAGTTCTATATCTCTCGTCCTACTGGCGGACTGATGAAATTTCACTTGTGTTTTTCCTGTCTCAAAAGCGCAACTTAGGATATATATTATATTTATATGTACCGCTGTTAAAAACATATGTATTTTGACACAAAATCAGACTTTTTCTAAAATGACATACCGATTTTTTTTCCATGTTTTGACTCTACGACTCAAATTATGCCAAAGAGCTAAGTTTTGCAAAAATAGCATGAGATTTTTTTTTTTTTAAATTATCTCTCAAAATTTCAGCTCCTCAATGTTAATTCAATTTGGTTTATATTTATTAATATCTCTTTTTTTATTAAATTTACTTGATAACTTTTTTCACATTTCGAAATTTAGGTTCAATTAAAAAAATTCGCAGATATTTTCTGCTTAATTTTTTTAATTTAGACTTTTTAGCAATTTTTATAACTGTTTCGGAAATTTTAATTCTTTTTTTATGCAAAATTTCCCAAGCTACACGTGAATATATAGATTTTTTTTTTTTTTAAATTTGGCATATTTGTTATAAGCGACAATAAAGTCAAGTATAGTTTACGCACTTTGTTTGAATTATTTGAAAGAATGAACTATGCACCTTTTCTTCCGTTTATGCACAATGAAAGGAAAGGAAAATAAGTTAACATAAATTAAAAATTTCGCCAAGATTGCTATTACGCGAAGATAACTTTTAATTTTATTACCAAATTTTACAAAATTTATTATTTAATCATAATTTTAATTGTAGAATCGAATGATTGAAAAAAAATCAGTCTATCGTTTTATGGAAAAAATACGATTTTGTGTCAAAATACCTATGTAAAATTTCTGTTTTATTTTAAATCTAATGTATATCTTAAGAGACGCTTTCGAGACAATTCTTTCAAATCGTTATGTTTCGTCAAATCGGTTTAGAAACGGGAGGTACAGAAAAATTTCATTTTTTATGCCGTATATGCACAACGGCAAGAAAGTCACTGAATTCTTTTATTTGACTATTTAAAAGCATTTAAATGAAAAAAAAAAGTAACTAACTAGAAGTAATCAAGCAGAACTATGTCCCTCTACCAAGAAAGTTTATCAGATTCACTGCTATTAATCTGAGTCGCTATTCTCTCGTCTGCCTAGCAGCGGATTACTAGTTAATTGGCAATTTAACTAGTAATCCGCTGCTTCGCTTTCTTACCAATTATATTACTGCAACGTGTGAGACTGTATTTATCTTGTCATCAAGTGGATCAAGTATAATCAGACAGTATCCTCAAGGTGTGGTCTGATGTCTGCTAAACATTCAAACTGACCCTATTTCCAATAGTATCCATAGAAACGAGAGAGCTAATTTCTTAATTAAGGATGCTTTAAATTTACCTATTGATATCAATCTTACCAATCCAAAAAGTTATTGGAAGCCCTTTTATTATAAGAAACTTTTATATAAGTGGAATGAGAAGTATATTTCATATTGGCATCTTGGCTAAGGGCACTAAAAAGTTGCTTCCTTCTATTTAGCACAGATTGCATTTAATCTTTCCTTTTTATTATTTTTAAAGTATCTCAATTTTTATCTGCTCACGGTAAATTTGAGAGTTACCTGTTTCGTTTCAATCTAAGAATTGTACATTTTTTATCCCAAAACAAGTAATTTATGTGAGTGGTAAAAAAAATTACCTCAAAACGTGGAACGTTTAATTTTTCCCTGTCGTACCTTCGATGGTCCAAGATTATGTTTGTGAAACAATTTGCAAAACGATTGGCGTGACTAAGCCAGTGAACTTAACTTTTTTTGTTAAGTCTAGAGTACTGGTCTCTGTTTTTGCTCAATCAAATGTAAATTAATTAAAGCATTATGCATGCGATATTTAATGCTTTAATTAATTTACATTTGTAAGACCCCTGTTGTATGTTTGTGGCGAACGGGGAGATTGTATATGTTAAAAAAATGAGTGAGACTTATATATGACATAATTAAATATCTGATGCCTCTATTTCTATGTTTACATTTCATCGCATTTATTATTCAGCAAAGTTACACCTAAATGGAAGTGATGACTAGGCATCCAGCATAATTTATCTTCTTCATCTTCTACAGGACCACTCTAAATTCATTTATTACATATACGTAAAGCAGTTAAAGAATAGGTAACTTTACTTGTAATAGCTCTTTATGTTTCCTTTTGTATTCAGTTATTTTACATTTTTTATCCTAAAACTATTAATGTGCTTGAAGTAAGTTTTTCCCAAGTGCATCATTACAAAATAAATCTCTGGCGCATTTTTTGTGTATAATGCTAACATAGGAACTTATATAACGGCAAAAGTGAAGTTGAGATCTTTTGTCGAAGAATAATGAAAAATTTACAAACCTAAAGTTTTAATCAATCAGTGGAAAAAGAAAGAATCATAATGTTTTTAACTTTAGTTTAGTATCAATATCGTAATCGTTTCATCAGTAAAGGAGTAAAGATCCCTGAATATTAGCTACTCGTCCCGCGTTCAAGCCCAGACAAGTGTGTGCTATATAGTTGGTTTTTGTGGGTTTTCCCTCATGTAATATGAATAACAGTAAGTTTTTCTTAAAAGGTACTCCACGAAGGCATCCAATTTGCAAACAATTTCCATTTAGTCAGATAGACAGATTTCTCAGACAGATAGCCTTCATGTGTTTTGTCATATTCAAAAAACCAAATTTAATTAAAATACAATAACACGCCGAACGAATATTAATTTAGAAGTCAAAAAAAATTAGCGTTATATTTTCAAATTTTCACAGGACTAGTTTCGGTGGTTTTACCGAATCATCATCTTCAGGTGCAAAAGTGGGAAAAAAAAAGTTTGTAGTTTTTAGTGTGTAGTTATTTTTTCCTTGAAACCATTGAAAATCATCATCTTCAGGTGCAAAAGTGGGAAAAAAAAAGTTTGTAGTTTTTAGTGTGTAGTTATTTTTTCCTTGAAACCATTGAAACTAGTCCTGTGAAAATTTGAAAATATAACGCTGATTTTTGTTGTTTGACTTATTAAAGTCAAACAATTTTTGTTGTTTATTTTGTTGTTTGACTTATGTTAAATTAACCAAACTTAACAGTATCATAATCTTCACGCACTTCTGATGTTTCTGTGTGTTCTGTTCTTTCTTGATGTCCTCTGCCTCTGTTCTATTGCCAATCATAAGTTTGTGAATATGTTAAAAGAAAGTTAATAATT